TTTTTCTTTTTATCTTGACTCACTGCAACCTCCGCCTCTCAGGTTCAAAATATTCTCCTGCCTCAGCCTCCCGAGTAGCTGGGATTACAGGCACCGACCACCACGACGGACTAATTTTTGTATTTTTAGTAGAGACGGGGTTTTGCCATGTTGGTCAGGCTGGTCTCAAACTCCTGACCTCAGGTGATCCACCTGCCTAGGCCTCCCAAAGTGCTGGGATTACAGGCGTGAGCCACTGCGCCCAGCCCAGAGTCTTGCTATGTTGACCAGGCTGGTCTCAAACTCCTGTCCTCTAGTGATTCTACTGTCTTGCCTTCTAAAGTGCTGGGAGTACAGTTGTGCACCACTGTTCCAGGACCTCTTTTTGTACATTCTAGGGGATAAGAGTGGTTTTCGCATTTTTCTTTTCTTTTTTTTTTGAGGCAGGGTCTTGTTCTAACACCCAGGCTGGAATGCAGTTCTGCAGTCATGGCTCACTGCAGCCTTGACCTCTGAGGCTCAAGGGATGCTCCTACCTCAGCCTTTTGAGTAGCTGGGACTACAGGTGAGTGCCACCATGCCCTTCTGAGCTTTTTATTTATTTATTTATTTTGTAGAGACGAGGTCTCTTGATGCTGCCCAGGATAGTCTCTTGAGGTCAAGAGATTCTCCTGCCTTGGCCTCCCAAAATGCTGGGATTAAAAGTGTGAGTCACCAAGCCCTGCCAGTTTTCACATTTGTTAAAGCTTGTAAAAATTAAGAGGAGTACGTGACAGAGAACAGATGTGCCCTGCAAAATATGTGTCTAGTAAAATACTAACTGGCCTTTAACAGAGTTTGCTGAACCTTGGTGTTGTGAAAACTTGTGAAATAAATAACTCCAGGTTTAGTGGAAGCTCAGGTGAGGATGCCCCATACATTTGTCCAAAGACAGAGCAAGTGAAATGTGCTCAGCGTTATTCTGTTGGTCTTGCTGTGTGCATGGGTTCAGATGGGGTTTGTTTTGGTGATGAGTTTCACGCAGCCACAGGTGCCTAAAAGACATCAGAACCTTCCCCGTTGCTCTTCCGCTTCTATAACTTTGTGTAATTACTGCCTCTCTACACCATGTCTGCTCTGCAGTAAATAATTTCTCATGAATTCTTTTTCTTTTTTTTTTTTTTTTTTTGACATGGAGTCTCACTGTTACTGCCCTGAATGGCAGTGCGGTAGCATGATCGCAGCTCACTGCAACCTTCACCTCCCAGGTTCCAGCAATACTCCTGCCTCGGCCTCCCGAGTAGCTGAGATTACAGGTGCCTGCCACCATGCCCAGCCAAGGTTGCAGCGAGCTGAGACTGTGCCATTGCACCACTCTCCCCTGCGCCTAAGGTTCTCCCTCAGGCTGTAGCGTCTGCCCTGGGTCTCCACGGCTGCTCTCATGAGCACTCCAGTCCTCTTCCAGCCTTAAGACCTCTCTCCTGAACTCTATCCCTTCTCTCCCAGAATTCACCCCTGAATTCCAGCTATCCTTTCCCATGAGCCAGGACCTCCCATGCCCATGAGCCACTCATCTGCCCCCTCAAACTCACTCCCATGCGGTCTAGAGTCCTTTCCCAACTATATCCTCCAATTCCTACTGTGGACTCTGGTCCTTTCTCTGAGATAATCCTATCCTCAGGCCAGAACCATCTTAAGACAACTCCCAGGTCTCTCCCCAGAGTCTGTGTCCTCAACTCTCCCAGAACTCTGTCAGAGGTGCTGGAACCAAAGCAACTCCATTTTGAGTGCAGGCTAGGAAAATGAGGCTGAGACTTGCTGGGCTGCATTCTGAGAAATTCAGGCATTACTAACCTCTCATGTTTACGGTTTCGGGAACAAGTTAATAATGGTTACTAAGCAGACCCAGACTTGGGAGTGTCCACATATCCTGATACCTGGAGAGCAAAGGCATTCCTAATTTTGCTTTAAAGATAGTATCAATTCTTGCAAAAACAGTAATTAAGAAAAGTAACCCTTTATCATAAACCCCTGTGGCACAGCACATCTCCCCATACATATGCGGGTAGAGGCATTCCTCCTTGTACTTTCGGGAGCATCCTATTCTGTCTAGGGAGCAGCTGCCCTTTCACCACTTTTTCTGTTTTTGAGACGGAGTCTCCCTCTGTCGCTCAGGCTGGAGTGCAGCAGCGCCATCTCTGCTCACTGCAACCTCCACCTCCTGGGTTCAAGTGATTCTCCTGCCTCCGCCTCCGGAGTAGCTGGGATTACAAGTATGTGCCACCATGCCTGGCTAATTTTGTTTTTATAGTAGAGATGGGGTTTCACCATGTTGGCCAGGCTGCTCTTGAACTGACCTCAGGTGACCGCCTGCCTCGACCTCCCAAAGTGCTGGGATTACCGGTATGAGCCGCCACACCCGGACCCACCACTTTTTTTTTTTTAATGTATTTTTAAATTTTTTCCTTTAGTGATTTGTGAGACATTTTACTTCCTTAATAAACTTGCTTTCGCTTTGCACAGAGGACTCGTCCTAAAATCTTTCCTGTGTGAGATCCAAGAACCCTCTCTTGGGGTCTGGACCCACACCCCTTTCCTGTAACAACTCTCCTCTGGGCGCTGACCCCTTCCTTAGGACCAGTCCACTTGCCTCCCTTCCGCCCTGTCCCTACTGTGGGGCACCGCCAGGATTTGGTAGAGGTCCGGTCTGCTGGCGCTGTTCCTTCTTGAAAAGGTTGTGTCTGACTACCCAACAAAGAGACCTGCGAATCTTTGATTTTATTTATTAATATTTTTGATTGACAAATAATTGGATTACACTGATTGAGTAGAACGTCATGTTCCAATGCATGTACACAATGCGGAATGATTAAATCAGGCTGATTAACGCGTCCATCACCTTGCTTCCTTCTCCTTTTTCCCTGTGGTGAGACATCTGAAATTTACTTTGTTACTGTGACTTTAATTGAATCATTCTGGTCTCTGCCTAGAGGGTCAGCATGTTGTGGTTGTACTCTACATTTCCTGGAAGAGCAATGACATTGAATACATTTTCACTTGTTGATTGGCCATTTGCAGATCTTCTCTTGTGATGTGATTAAGTTTTCTCCCCTTTAAATTGATTTGTTTTTTAAACATGAGGGATTCTTTATATTTTCCACGTGAGTTCTTTTGTCAGGTGTAGTAGAGCAAACATCTTCTTCCAGTCCTGTTTCTTGTCTTTTTTCTATCTTAACCACATCATTGATGAACAGAATTTTGTACTTTTGCTGATGAAGTCTAACAACTTTTTATGTCTGCTGTGTTTTGCCTACTAAGAAATCATTGCGTAACTCACGGTTGTGACAATAATCTCTTAATGGTTTCTTCTAGAAGATCAACAGTCTTTTCCAGACTCACTGCAGCCACAGGGCGTTTTCTTACAAAAATTCACTAATGGCAACACTAATGGTAGTAATGGTCATAAAAACAACAATAGTTATTTATTGAACTTACACAATATTCCAGTTACACTTTCAAAGACTTTACATGTACCAAACATTTAATTTCCAGTTTCCACAACAGCAGTCTCGGGTAGATGTGATTATCCTTATGTACAAATAATGCACACGGTGTCCACGTGGCAAACATTGCACAGGGGTAGTGAGCCTTTAGCCCATGTCTCACAGGGAATAGGGTGGGGGATGGCGGGGACAACTGGTAGAGCGGGTGCCATGACTAAAGGCTTTCTCACGTGTTACATTAGCAGGGTTATTCCACAGATGCCACGGAATAAACACAGGATGGTATGGGTAGTCTTTATGTATTCATTAAACTAACCTACACAATAAAAACGTTTACACCAAAAACACAATCATTAAGAATTAAGAAAAAGTGATTTTTCCACTCTTCGAATTTGCCTCTAGAATAACTTGATATTCTGTAAGCAGAAGAGTGATCAGTGGGCTGGGCATGGTTGCTCATGCCTGTAATCCCAGCACTTTGGGAAGCCGAGGCAGGTGGATCACCTGAGGTCAGGAGTTTGAGACCAGCCTGGGCAACATGGTGAAACCTGTCTGTACCAAAAATAAAAAATTTGCCAGGCATGGTGGTGCCTGTAATCCCAGCTACTGGAGAGGCTGAAACAGGAGAACTGCTTGAACCTGGGAGGCAGATGTTGCAGTGAGCCAAGATTGCACCACTGCACTCCAGTCTGGGCAAGAATGAGACTCTGTGTCCAAAAAGATCAGTGAAGGCTTTCCTATGTTCAACAGTATCATGAGTTTTTCTCATGTTGAGGAAGGCATGAATGTAGTCTAGAGGCCTTCATACATTCTTTGTACAGAAGCCCCCTCTCACCTGAGGGGGATACGTTCCAAGACACCCAGTGGATACCTGAAACCATAGATAGTACTGACTGTGTTTTTTTCCTGTACATATATACAATATTATATACTACATTTTTTCCCTGTACAAACATATCTAAAGTTTAATTTATAAATTAGGCACAGTAAGAGATTACCAACAATAACTAATAAAATAGAACAATTGTAACAATATGCTGTAATAAAATTATGTGAACGTATCTCTCTCTCCCAAAATATCTTATTGTCATGTAGCTCTTAGCAACCTCAGTATACACTTTTTTCCCTTTTCCTTATTGAGAACTTTCACCTTTTCACTTAAAAGGAAGCACTTTGTGGCTTCTCTTTGGCATATCCAAATTACCAGCATCACTACTCTTGCGCTTTGGGGCCACTGTTAAGTGAAGTAAAGATTACTTGAGCACAAGCACTGTGATGCCATGATAGTCGATCTGATCACCAAGGCAGCTACTAGGTTACTAGCAGGGTGGCAGCATATACAGCGCGGATGTGCTGGACCAAGGGGCGAGTCGCATCCCTGGCTGGCTGCAGCAGGACAGCAAGAGATGTCATCACGCTACTCAGAAGGGCACACCATTTGAGCCTTACAATTTATTTCTGGAATTTTCCATTTAATATGTTTGAACCGCAGTTGACTGCAGGTAAAAAAAAAACGTGGAGAGCGAAACCACGGATAACAGCGGGCGGCTGTGTTCAGAGGGCACTTCAACTGTTGTGGATCCTCTGATGTTCTTGGAGGAGGTTTAGCTGGTGACATGCCTTCCCACATTCCTTACATTCATAGGATTTCGGCCCACTGTGTGTTTTCAGGTGCTGTGTAAGCTGATGGCCATGACTAAAGCTCTTCCCACATTCTGTACACCCGTAGGGCTTCACCCCGGTATGAATTCGCTCGTGTTTCACAAGGCTCGAGCCGTAAATGAAAGCCTTCCCACACTCCTTACATTTATACGGGGTTTCGCCCGTGTGGATTCTCTCATGCTGAGTGAGATGATAGCCACAATTGAAAGCCTTCCCACATTCTGTGCATTTGTACGGCTTCTCCCCCGTGTGTATCCTCTCGTGCTTCACAAGGCTGGAACCCCAGCGAAAGGCCTTCCCGCATTCCTTACACTCGTGGGGCTTCTCCCCAGTATGGATCTTCTGATGCTGAGTAAGGTAATTTACTCGAGTGAAGGCCTTCCCACATTCTTGACATTCATAGGGTTTCTCACCTGTGTGAATTCTTTTATGCTGAATGAGGCTTGAGCCACAAATAAAGGCCTTCCCACAGTCTTTACATTCGTAAGGCTTCTCCCCACTGTGAATTCTCTTGTGCTGAATGAGTTTGTATACTCGGCTAAAAGTCTTCCCACAGTCTTTGCACTCGTAGTCTTTCTCCCCAGTGTGGAACCTCTGGTGCTGGGTGAGCTCGTCGCCACGCCGGAAGGCCTTGCCACAGTCTTTGCATTCGTAGGGTTTCTCCCCAGTATGGATTCTTTTATGAATAACGAGGCTTGAGCCCCATCGAAAAGCCTTCCCACAGTCTTTACATTCATACGGCTTCTCCCCGGTATGGATTTTCTGATGCTGAGTAAGCTGATTGCCCCATCGGAAGGCCTTCTTACATTCTTTACATTCGTAAGGTTTCTCACCAGTATGGATTTTCTGATGTTGACTAAGTTGATAGCCACGACTAAAGGCCTTCCCGCAATCCTTACATTCAAAGGAATTCTCCTTATGATGTCTCTGATGGGATCTGGGAGGGGTGCCTTCTCTGGCAGCGGGCCTTTTTACACAGTTGATGACCATTCGATTGACATACCTGCCTCTCGAGCGCTGTGGTCTTTCAGGCGTACCTTCATATATCCAGTTATGGCCAAGGGATTTACTTCTTCTATCTGAATTCCTTTTGGAAACGCGTACTTCATGAAGGCTTTTTTCTGTAGGTAAATTCTTAGTCTCATAGGCTGACTCCAAATCTGGAAAAAAAGAATATTTTGTTTCCTTTGGAGGGACACAAACACAAATAAACCTAATCACAAACCAAAAACTCTTCTAATAGAAAAAAAAATTATCCAGTAGAATAAATGTGAATCACCCAGGGTTCTTATTCAATGTAGATTCTACTTCTGGCACGACGATACTTAATAAGAAGTAATCAGAGACATTTGTTCTAAAGTGAAACATGAAAAAGGTCCCGACAGTTAGTCCCATGATTTCCTATATCTATTATTTCCTATTTTGATGATGAAAACACGTATTTGTAGATGATGTGATGATATACTTGGAAAACAAAAGAAAACCATATATAGAAGTAGTGTAGCAAAACAATGTGCAGTTGGATAGCTGTGTGTAAAGCATTCTGAAACTGATACACACATGTTGGCAATATTATTAAAAGTAACTGGGTAAAGGCCGAGGAGTGGTGGCTCATACCTGTAATCCCAGCACTTTGGGAGGTCAAGGCAGGCAGATCACTTGAGGTCAGGAGTTTGAGACCAGCCTGCCAACATGGCAAAACCTTGTGTCTACTAAAAGTACAAAAATTAGCCAGGCATGGTGGTGTGTGCCTGTAATCCCAGCTACTCAGGAGTCTGAGGCAGGAAAATCGCTTGAACCTGGGAGGCGGAGTTTGTCATGAGCTGAAATTGTGCCACTGCACTCCAGCCTGGGTGATAGAATGCGACTCTGTCTCAAAAAAAAAGGTAACTGAGTAAAAGGATACAACATTCAAAAGCAACAAAAAATATAATTTACAAGACTAAAAAAAAATGTAAAAAAAAACGATAAGGAAAACTTTGGAACTTGAGCATCAATAAGGGGGCTAACAGCAAAGGACTGAGAAACATCTAACATTTAAATCTACGAGTTCATAATGATACTACAAAATGTTCAATGGCCAGCTTTGGAGCATGCTAGGAAACCAGTCCTTTATTATAAAAACTGACAATTGGCTGAGTGCAACGGCTCACACCAGTAATCCCAGCACTTTGGGAGACTGAGGTGGGTGGATTACTTGACCTCAGGAGTTCAAAACCAGCCTGGGAAACAGTGAAACCCCGTCTCTATAAAAAAAATACAAAAATTAGCCAGGCATGGTGGTGTGCACCTATAGTCTCAGCTACTCAGGGGGCTGAGGTGGGAGGATGGCTTGTGCTCAGGAAGTCAAGGCTGCAGGAAGCCCAGACTGCATTACCGCACTCCAGCCTTGGTGGCAGAGTGAGACCCTGTTTCAAAAAAAATAAAAAGAGAGAGAGAAAGAATACAACATAAAAACTGACAAAGAAAAAGAACAAAGTTTTTATCCTTCTTATCCAATATGAGCAGTGCCACTGCAGAAGCACTTAGCAGATGGAATAAACTTTCTCTTTAAATTATGACAGCTAATAAATGAAGGAGCAGTGATAAGCATGCAGCATTTGAACCCACAGTGTAATGAACTGTAAGCACTGTCAATGACTGACTGCCAACAGCAAAGAGCTATAACCAGGTATTAGGTGCTTTATGGTAGAGGAACATTAACAGCACCCAGGAAGCAATACTGCCAACACTTACATATAAGAAAAGGCAAACAGGCACTTAAAGCGAGGCTAACCAACTTTCAGGAATGATAAAGAACAGAGGATGGCCGGGCGCAGTGACTCAAGCCTGTAATTTCAGCACTTTGGGAGGCTGAGGTGGGTGGATCACGAGGTCAGGAGTTTGAGACCAACCTGGCCAACATGGTGAAATCCCGTCTCTACTAAAAATACAAAAATTAGCTGGGCATGGTAGCACGTGCCTATAATCCCAGCTACTCAGGAGGCTGAGGCAGGAGAATTGCTTGAACCCAGGAGGCGGAGGTTGCTGAGCCGAGATTGTGCCATTACACTGTAGCCTGGGTGACAGAGTGAGACTGTCTCAAAAAAATAAATAAATAAATAACAAAGGATGATGTCACCTCTACCCCTGCTACTAAAGGTGTGGCCCACAGACCAGCAGCACCAGCAACACATGAGATGGGGTTAAATAAGACAGGAAAAACAAGGTGACAGGGACATGGGGTGCAGAGGCTTTGGGCCTAAACCTTTGTAGAGAGCTTCTCCAACACTTCAGGGTACCCCTGGCTCCCTGCCCAGTGGGGATGCTCTTTCTAAGGATGGCTGACGGGCTCTCACTTTCCTTTGTATGGTGGTCTTGTCTTTTCCCTCACAACTATCAAGTCTCATACCCTTAATTCTTTTTTTTTTTTTTTTTTTAGACGGCGCTTCGCTCTTTTTCCCCAGGCTGGAGTGCAATGGCGCAATCTCGGCTCATCGCAACCTCCGCCTCCTGGGTTCAGGCAATTCTCCTGCCTCAGCCTCCTGAGTAGCTGGGATTACAGACACGCGCCACCATGCCCAGCTAATGTTTTGTATTTTTAGTAGAGACGGGGTTTCACCATTTGACCAGGATGGTCTCGATCTCTTGACCTCGTGATCCACCCGCCTCCGCCTCCCAAAGTGCTGGGATTACAGGCGTGAGCCACCGCGCCCGGCCTCATTCCCTTAATTCTATAAGACGATGCAGTTGGCTTAGAAATGATATGCTCTGCTTTAAAAAAGACAAAAAAATGCCAGAGGATGTAGACCTTAAGGAAGAATTTCAAGCTCAAAAATTAAAAGAAGAAATTATTTTTATTTTTTTGAAACAGTGTCTTGCTCTGTCACCTAGGCTGGAGTGCAGAGGCACGATGTCAGCTCACTGCAGTCTCTGCCTCCTGGGTTCCAGTGATTCTCCCGCCTCAGCCTCCTGAGTAGCTGGGATAACAGATGCAAGCCACTGAGCCTGGCCTAATTTTTTGTATTTTTCAGTAGAGATGGGATTTGACCACGCTGCCCAGGCTGGTCTTCAGGCGATCTGCCCACCTCAGCCTCCCAAAGTGCTGGGATTACAGGCATGAGCCACTGTACTGGCTTTAATTTTTATTATTTTTGAGACAGAGTCTTGCTCTGTCACCTAGGTTGGAGTGCACTGGCATGATCTCAGCTCACTGCAACCTTCACTTCCTGGGTCCAAACAATTCTCCTGTGCAAGCCTCCAGAGTAGCTGGGATCATAGGTGTGCACCACCATGCCCAGCCAATTTTTAATTTTTAAATTTTTTTTGTAGAGATGGGGTTTCTCCATGTTGATCAGGCTGGTCTCGAACTCCTGATCTCAGGTTATCTGCCTGCCTCGGCCTCCCAAAGTGCTGGGATTATAGGCATGAGCCACCACACCCGGCCCCAGCTAATTTTTTATATTTTTAGTAGAGATAGGGTTTACTATGTTGGCCCGGCTGGTCTCAAACTCCTGAACTCAAGTGATCCGCCCACCTCGGCCTCCCAAAGTATTGGGATTACAGGTACAAGCCACTGCACCTGGCCAAGAAAAGGTCCTATTTTAAATTTCTGTACGCATTATGCCTGGAGGCAAGTGGAATATGACGGCTGGCAGCATGGAATCTGGGGCCCAAAATTGTTAGATTCAATTCTAGCTCCTGCTCTGCCTGACCACTCCACTTTGTGCTTCAGTATCCTCATCTCCAAAATAGACAATGATTGTGCCTGTCTCATCTGCTTGTGAGAACGAAATGGTATGTACTCACACACATAGTGCTTAGAACAGTATATGGCACAGAGTAAGTAATACGTATATATAGCTTACATGTGTTTATATATATATTGCTTGTGTGTGTGTGTGTGTGTGTGTGTACGTAAATATACATATATATATTTAGTGATGGGGTCTTGATATGTTGCCCAGCCTGGAGTACAGTGGTGTGATCATAATGAACTGCAGCCTTAAACTCCTGGACTGAAGTGATCCTCCTGCCTCAGTCTTCCGAGTAGCTGGGATTACAGGCAGTGTCACCATAGATGGCTTAGCTATTAATATCGTTGTTATTTTACTAGAAGAAAAATAAGTTTCCAGAGATGTTTACAAGATACTGTCATTCAATGTTTAACTCAAAGTTCAGGGACTGTAACTTTCAACCTTACTTCAGGTATGACATGTAAGAAATGAAATATGGCTGGGCACGGTGGCTCACGCCTGTAATCCCAGCACTTTGGGAGGCTGAGGTGGGTGGATCACAGGGTCAGTAGTTCAAGACCAGCCTGGCCAACACAGTGAAACCCCATCTCTACTGAAAATACAAAAACATGGCGGGCACCTGTAATCCCAGCTACTCGGGAGGCTGAGACAGGAGAATCACTTGAACCCGGGAGGCGAAGGTTGCAGAGAGCCAAGACCGCCCCACTGCACTCCAACCTGGGCAACAGAGTGAGACTCTGCCTCAAAAAAAAAAAAGAAATGAAATATGCTCACTCTGGTTTTACACAAATTCTGTTTGTCTAATCTACTCTATTTCAAGCACATAGGCTGGCTCACTGGAACAAATCAGGGCACTGCGTCCACAAGTTTTCCCTACAGATAGGTCCCTATAGTACCACAGACCACCAACAGTAATTTGGGTATAAACATAATATTATAGGACAAACTGGTTCCTTTGAAGATGGTCATGAAATAAATATCCCAGAATTCCAACTCACTCCATGGACATTAGGAAGAAAGCTGATTACGGGGGAGCCTGACAAAGGTGGGAAGATAACCGATGGATTTGAGAGGAAGGTGTGTGATGCTCATGGCCACACCAGTAAGACTCAACACACTCCTTGGGAACAGGAAGAAGAAATTCAACTAGTTTCTGGAAAGATGGTCCTGACATTCACAGTGGAGAGCTGATATTCCAGGAAGCAGTCTAAGTTATGTGGGGTGTGCAACTCACCCAGTGAGACCACATTACTGTAGTTTTCCAGCATCACATCCCAGTACAGGTCCCTCTGAGCAGAATTCAGACAGGCCCACTCCTCCTGAGAAAAGTCTATGGCTACATCGGCGAACGTCACCAAATCCTGAAACAGAAACGCACATATGCGTGATGATGTGAAAGGAAACAGCTTCCAGCTGAAGGAGACAAGAGGCCACCCTTATGCTAAATATCCTGCTAGTGAAAAAAAAAAAAAAAGAGGCCACCCTCTGGGTAGGTTGAGCACCATGAGTAGACTGAACGCCTGTAGCACAGGCAGGGAGCGGAGAGGACATCAGCGTAACTGACGGAAGCAGAATACCTACATGTCACTCAAAAGCCGTACCACTGCAGAGAAAATGACTTCTACTGTGCAGAATCCTCCATTAGTCAAACCTGCCAGGAAGTTTACAAGCAGTGTCTGCTCCGTGCCTGCCTTAAAGGTTCTCAACAAGTGTGGGTTCCTACAGCATCTTTTTTTTTTTTTTAAGGGGGGAAAAATCAAGATTTTTAAGTTTTAGTTCAGAAAATGGAGTTTGCATGTTTAAATGTTTTCAATCCTCAAGTTCATCATGCCGAACTACATTTTAAGCAGCCTTCCTTTTAGGCATTAAAAAAATTCCCACACAGATAAGCCAGACTGTTTATTATAGTTATCCACTTAGATTGACCAAAATACCTAAGGCTTTCTCCAATTCTGGGGTATGTGATCATCTCCTACTTCCATACTAGAAGATCTTCACATTTGTTGCCATCTACCAACCCCAACTTTTTTCTTTTTTTGAGAAAAAGTCTTGCTCTATTGCCCAGACTTGGCTCACTGCAACGTTCATCTCCTGGGTTCAAGTAATTCTCCTGCCTCAGCCTCCCAAGTAGCTGGAATTATAGACACATGCCACCATACCCTGCTAATTTTGGTATTTTTAGTACAGAAGAGGTTTTACCATGTTGGCCAGGCTTGTCTGGAACACTTGACCACAAGCAGTCTGCCCACCTGGGCATCCCAAAGTGCTGGGATTACACGTGTGAGCCACTGTACCTGGCCCCCTGTTCCTGATTTAGAGGATAAGAATGTCAGATTATTTGGAATCATCTTGCAGTCTGACAGGTCCATTCAATAAGAAAATTTATCTTCCAGTTTCCCCGGCAAGAACATGAGCTCTGTTCAAAGGTCCTAATCATAGCCCTATCTACTTCCAAAAGTCCCATGAAGCCTCATGGGATCTCAACACACATTAAGACTGACGCCAGGGCCGGGCGTGGTGGCACACGCCTGTAATCCCAGCACTTTGGGAGGCCGAGGCGGGTGGATCACGAGGTCAAGAGATCGAGACCATCCTGGTCAACACGGTGAAANTAATAATAAAAAGACACCTGTTTATATAGTAGGTTTATACTGAGTAGAGGTGTTTTCCTCTTTTTTAAAAAAATAGGGGTTCCACCACATTGCCTAGGCTGGTCTCAAACTCCTGGGATCAAGTGATTCTCCCACCCTGGTCTTCTCTTTATTGGGATTGCAGGCATGAGCAACCATGTCCAGGCAAGTAATGGTGTTTTAAACAGACTCCGGAGCCAGACTGCTTGAGTTCAAATCCCAACTTCAGCTCCTCCCAGTTGTATAACCTGGAATGTACTTAATCTCTGTCTAGTTGTCATAATGCCTCATCTCTTAACCCTTTTTGCTGCCTGTAATATTTTAAGCTTTCTCCCATGGTAAAGGCTCAGAAGGTAAAGCATTATGACAACTGGACTATGGCAGTGACAGCCCAAGGAGCAAAGAGATGTAACAGATGTTCTGGAAGCCACATCAATGGACCATTGTGACCTGAAATAAATGGAGGTGAAAAGAGAGGAGTCTAGGGTAACTCCCAACCTGCCACCTCAGGTCTCTGGCTTGGTCAACTGGGTAGAAGGATGTCTTTTACTGAAATAGAGAATGCTGGAGGAAGAAAGTGAGATTGGGAAGTAGGGGTAGAAAAATCCGAGTCCCCTGTGGAATCTGGTGAGTTTAAGATACCTGTAAGACAGGCCAATGGAAATTCCCAACCCAAGGGGAATGGAGCTAAAGGGAGATTAACATTTGGATGGGCAGTGAAGTGGTGGCCGTTGGAACTCTGGAAGTGGAATGGAATTCTCCAGGGTAGGCAGGCAGCTAGAGCAATTTTTAAACTTCAGTGAGTCTTAAGTTCTTGGATGTTTTATATGTTGATGCGGCAAAGATCACCCTTTGAGAAATATTAGTAAAGGATGAGATCACTTCTTTTTTTTTTTTTTTTTGAGACAGAGTCTTGCTCTGTCACCCAGGCTGGAGTGCAATGGCACGCTCTCAGCTCACCACAACCTCTGCCTCCTGGGTTCAAGCAATTCTCATGCCTCAGTCTCCCAAGTAGCTGGGATTACAGTTGTGTGCCACCACGCCTGGCTAATTTTTGTATTTTTAAGTAGAGACAGGGTTTCACCATGTTGGTCAGGCTGGTCTCGAACCCCTGACCTCGTGATCCACCCGCCTCAGCCTTCCAAAGTGCTGGGATTACAGGTGTGAGCCACCGCATCCGGCTGAGATCACTTCTAAGATTTAAAAAATGTTACGCTTCCCAGAGATTCTGTTGTCTTTTTTTTTGCTTTTTGCCCCTAACATTTTATTGTAAAAATTTTCTAACATAGAGGAAAGTTAGAATAATTTTACTGTGAATCATCATATACCCACCAACTGATTCTACAATTGACATTTTGCCATACTGGCTTTATCACATGTCTATTCATTTATCTATGCATCCATCAGTCTTTTTTTTTTTTTTTTTTTTTTTTTGTCTCAAAGGCAGGCCCAGACAATTAAACAGAAGGATTTCGTTTCTGGCCAGCCCCCTATCAGGGACTGACAGGTGGGATGTAATAAAGTATGCGGTCTTGTCCAAAAAGAAGTCTGGCCTTTGCCCTCTGCTTCTGAAAGGTAATCTATATTATATCTACTAGGAATGCCTTTGTTTCTGATGAGGGCATCCATTTATCCCAACAAAGAGTCAGTATATTCAGAATTATCTGGTCATGAACCTGACATCAGTGGCTGTCCTCAGGATGATGTCCCATTCCTGGCTCCTTTCTGAGTGTGTGACCTGGAATTATCCACAGGCCTTGACCACAGGCTGCCTTGCACTTCTTCTGTTTAGTTTCCATTGGTGCATTATTGACACTGTACAGGCAGCAGCTGAGTCCACTGAATCAGACTCTCATTCCAAGTACTAATAGCCCCAGCATCTGGCATATTGTAGGCACTGAACAAATGTCTAATTTTGACTCAAAATTCTACATTCTGGAATTTATGACAAGGAAATAGCTATAGTAGTCTACAAATGCATGCCTAAGAATGTTAAAAAAAAAAAAAAAAATAGGGCCGGGTGTGGTGGCTCATGCCTATAATTCCAGCACTTTGGGATTATAGGCACAAAGAGGGCAGATCATACGGTCAGGAGTTCGAGACCAGCCTGGCCAATAGGGGAAACCCCATCTCTACTAAAAATACAAAAAAATTAGCCAGGTGTGGTGGTACATGCCTGTAATCCCAGCTACTTGGGAGGCTGAGGCAGGAGAATTACTTGAACCCAGGAGGCAGAGGTTGCAGTGAGCTGAGATTGAGCACTTGTACTCCAGCCTAGGCAACACAGCAAGACTCCTTCTAGGGGTGGTTAAAAAAAAAGAAAAAATAAAGGAACAGTGAAAAAAAACCCACCTTACAGAACCTATCCTGAGAAATCCAACTTGAAAACATTAGCAAGAGGGTGAATCTTTTTTTTTTTTTTTGAGACAGTTTTGCTCTGTTGCCCAGGCTGGAGTGCAGTGGTGCAATCTTGGCTCACTGCAGCCTCTGCCTCCCAAGTTCAAGTCATTCTCCTGCCTCAGCTTCCTGAGCAGCTGAGACTATAGGTGCATACCACCACACCCAGCTAACTTTTGTATTTTTAGTAGAGATGGAGTTTCACCATGTTGGCCAAGATGGTCTCGATCTCCTGATCTCAAGATCTGCCTGCCTTGGCATCCCAAAGTGCTGGGATTGCAGGCATGAGCCACCACGCCTGGTGTGAATCTTGTGTTCTATGTGAAATGAAAGATACATGTGAATATTTTTAACTATAGTCATCTTATTCGTTTATCTCACGAATGTTACTTACACAGTCCGAATTTGTTACCTGTATCTGTAACCTTGCTAATGCTATCTGGAAAGCCCATATTTGTAAGACACCCAATGATTAATTAGCTTTTACCAGTGATTACTGTCATGTTCTGGAAAAGAAACATGAAAATTCTGAACCTTTAGTTTTTTATTATTTATTTATTTATTTATTTATTTATTTTATAGCTGCCCATCACTGATGTTTTTATTTTTTTTTGAGAAGGTCTCACTCTTTCACCCAGGCTGGATGGCAGTAAGCAGCCTTAACTCACTGTAGCTTTAACCGTCTGGACTGTAAGGAATCCTCCCACCTCAGCTTCCTAAGTAGCTGGGACCACAGGCACACACCATCACGCCTGGCTAATTTTTTAATTTTTTGGAGAGATAGGGTCTCACTATATTGCTCAGGCTGGTCTCAAACTCCTGGCCTCAAGCAATCCTTCCACCTTAGAATCTCTAATTTTAAAGGCTGTCTTTCTTGATAATTTGCTGCCATAGATTAGATTCAAAACTAGATTTAAAGAGTCTCTGGTGTATTTACATGATTAATTAGCAAGATTCCATGCTCCAGAAAGAAAATACATACATGCTTAAAGGCAAAAAGGAGGACTAGAAACGTTAATTACAAAAACGAGGACTAGAAACAGTAATTACCTCTGGATTGTAATTATGGGTAATTTAGAGACTTTTCTCTAAGAGCTCTTCAGGGACTAATTTTTTTTCCCCCAAGCAAGCCTGCATTAAGTCCATTATAAGAAATTTAACGAGATAGTCTCAAAAAAAAAAAAAAAAAGCAAACGCAAACATAATTATGGGGGAGAAGGCACACTGTAGTCGTTAAGGAAACTCTGCACGGATAGGCCTGCCTCTCAAATGTGTGTATGCGTGTGCTGTGTGTACATATATTTTGAGACAGGGTCTCACTCTGTCGCCGCTGGAGTACAGTGGCGTGAACACAGGTTACAGCAGCTTCAATCTCCTCGGTTCAAGTGATCCTCCCACCTCAGCCTCCCTAGTAACTGGGACCACAGGTGCACATGCCTGGCTAACTTCCATATTTTTGTAGAGGTGGAATCTTGTCATTTTGCCCACCTCTCAAATATGCCTCTTTGGTAATTCCAGTACTTTCAAATGTGTTACCTTGCATGGCAAAGGAAAATTAAGGTTGCAGATGGACTTAAAACTGCTAATCAGCTGACTCTTAAGATAGAGAAGATTATCTTTATTTTTTTACTTTTTATTTTATTTTTATAATAGAGACAAAGTTTCTCCATGTTGGTCAGGCTGGTCTCAAACTCCTGACCTCAGGTGATCCACCTGCCTCAGCCTCCCAAAGTGCTGTGATTACAGGCGTGAGCCACTGCGCCCAGCCGGGAAGATTATCTTAAAGTTATACCGGAAGGCACAACACATAATGAGCACAGTCCTTAAAATTAGAAGAGGAGGTGGGCCAGGCACAGTGGCTCATGCCTGTAATCACAGCACTGAGGGTGGGAGCATAGCTTGAGCTCATGAGATCATGACCAGCCTGGGCAATGCAGTCAGACCCTGTCTCTTAAAAAAAAAAAAAATTAAAAAAAAAAGTTTGCCCTTTTAGCCACAGAGTCTATGGTATTTTGTTATAACAGACTGAATCAACTAACAC